TTCTGGGGTTTATTTACCTTCTATAATTGAAACTCTGTTGCCATCCTGCTCGCTCCAGCTCTGAGGCCGCGGCTGGCTGAAAGCAGGTATCTGGGGTATGTTTAGCTTCTATAATTGAAACTATGTTGCCGACACTGGAGCTAAGAGCCCGCTCCAGCTCCATGGCCACGGCCGGCTGAAAGCATGTATCTGGGGTTTGTTTAGCTTCTATAATTGAAACTTAGTTGCTTTCAGAGCTCCGAGCCGGGCCGCGGCAGGTGGGGAACCTTGGCTTCCTCCATCACTGGAGCAAGCAAACCTCCTGCTCGCTTCAGCTGGTGGCTTGCCGGCCGCATCTTGGTTGGCAGTTTGCATATCACGCTGATTAGCCAATGGGAAGCGTAGCGGAGGTATGGTTAATTACCCTTTTTGTCTTTTATTAGATAGGATAGCATTTGAGAAACCACAGAACTTTTTCTTTTCATTAAGACTATTTTAGTCTTTTCAATAATAATATTTCCTCTCCATTTGTAGTCCTAGGATCTTTAAGTTCACCATTAAAACCTCTCTTCTAAAGAATCACATTTCTGTGCCATAGTTTCTTTGTGTTAAGATAGGAATAATATCTACCTCTCATTACCCTGAGAATTGAGTTTAGGAATGAAGGCTTTAACAGTTCTGAAATATAGTAAGTGCTCAGTAAGTGTTAGATATTATTTCTACTGGTGTGATTTTAGAGGGGGAAAAAATGCAGGTTCTTTGTTGCTCTTACACCTTCTCTCTATTGCATATTATTGTAGTCACTAGGGTTCTAACAATCAAAAGACCCTTCCCTTGATTTTACTTACTCTGTTTCCCTGAGCAATTGAAGACTTCATTCCCTTTAGGTTCAGTACTTTTAAGTGTCTTAGAAGGATTTTAAAATAATAATTTTTCTAGTTCCTACCTCTATTTTTTAATAATTCACTGACAGAAATATTAAATAAAATGTAATGCCTAGAATTAATGTATAATGGTATGAATCTACAAACTAAAAATTGTGTCCCCCTTTCTACCAAGATTAAATAACAACAACAAACCTAGAAGGCAGCCTATAGGTAAATAAATAAAGAGCACATGGCATGGAATCAGAAAATCTGGTTTCAGGTCATGTGTCTGCTTCTTTCTAAATATATAACCTCTTTTAAAATAGAGAGAATGATAATACTGGAAATATTGGGAGAATGAAATAAAAGAATGTCTGTGAGACACTTCGTAAACTGTGAAGTACTTCAGATATCTGTGTTACACTGAAAAGTTGCTAACAAAAGACCAGTGACTCTGTAGGGACAAATTAGGAACTTGATCAGGAACAGAAATGTCAGTATTCATTCATCTGTAGTTGTTGTTTGTAAAGAGTGTCAGTACCTTAGGTTAATTTAGTTTTAAAATTCAATAATTTCCTCTCATAAAGCAATACTATTCTTGCTCTGTTGAGGAAGTTCTTTGGGAGGGTAATGTAGAAAAGTTCTTTCCTTACTAACTTCATCCCAACCACTATAGTTTATGTATGTACAGATTGAACAGTATTGCAAGAGCATTTACATTGGTATGGAATTTCATACTTTTTAAAATATATTCACAACCATGTGATATATGCCCCTCACAATCTGCATTTTGTAACATCTTATATAAATGTAACATAATTCTATTAAACATTTCCACTTCTGACAGCCATTGAGTTTGTTTCCAACTCTTCTGATATTACAAACAATTCTGCCCTTTATAGCAAAATATTTACATATTTCAACATATATATAAATTTTTCTGCAAGATGGATACCACATTAAATTTCTAAATCTAAATGCACACACATTTAAAATTTTATACAGACTGCACTTTCCTGCTTTATAAAAAGATGTACTAATTTAGAATCCTAGTAACATAAATAGAGAAGGACCCACAAGTCATAAATGTACATCTCACTGAGTTATCACAAAATGCACAGCCATGTAATCCCCACCCACATCAAAAGAGAAGATATTTCTAACACCCCAGAAACCCTAGTGCCTTCTCCCAATCACTATTCCGTTCTCTGGAGCAGAGATCAACTGTAGTTTCTCACAGCAGAGATCAGTTTAAATTAAAACAAATAAGCAAAAAAAAACAACAACAAAACAGAATCATACAGCATTTGGCTCAGCATTTATTCGAATGGTTAACTTAGCTTTGTATGAGCTTCTTCCCATTTATTTGTGTTGTTTTGTATGGAAATTGTGTATGTGTTTTATTATGGTTTTAATTTGCATTTCTCTGATAGGAAGGAGATTGATCTCCATGTATATGTTTATTGGTCATTTAGATAAAGCATTTCTATGAAATCCCTGCAAAAGTCTCTTGTCTGTTTTTAAATTAAGTCTTCGCTTGTTGATTTGTAACAACTGTTTTTATTTCCATTTATTATATATTTTATTGATCTTTTCCTACTTTGTGCTTCTCTCTCTTATTTTAATTTATTTATTTTTTTAAATGTATTTTATTGATTTTTTACAGAGAGGAAAGGAGAGGGATAGAGAGTTAGAAACATCGATGAGGGAGAACCATCGATCAGCTGCCTCCTGCACACTCCCCACTGGGGATGTGCCCGCAACCAAGGTACATGCCCTTGACTGGAATCAAAACCAGGACCCTTGAGTCCATAGGCCGATGCTCTATCCACTGAGCCAAACCGGTTAGGGCCTCTCTCTTTTTTTTAATGGTTGCTTTTGATGAACAGGTGTTTTCTTTGTTTTGTTTTTTTAAATATATTTTTATTGATTTCAGAGAGGAAGGGAGAGGGATAGAAACATCAGTGATGAGAGAGAATCATTGATCAGTTGCCTCCTGCTTGCCCCCTACTGGGGATCAAGCCTACAACCTTGGGCATGTGCCCTTGACTGAAATCGAACCAGGGACCCTTCAGTCCGCAGGCTGATGCTCTATCCATTGAGCCAAACCAGCTAGGGCTGAACAGATGTTTTTAATTTCAATGTAGTCCACTGTCTCAAGCCTTTGCTTTATAAATAATGCTCTTAAACTTTGCCAACAAGATCATGCAGTTAATTTCCTACATTATCTTCTATGAGTTATATTATTTTGATTTTCACAATGAGAACCGCTATCCACCTGGAAAAAAATGTTGTGTGTGGTGTGAGATGGAGTCCATTTCCCCCATATGTATAGTCATTTAACTTGCTCCAATTACTGAAAACACTCAGACTTTTTTAATACTATCTTACAATTCTACTTTTATTTTAACTCACATATCTATAGTATAGGCATGGGTCTTCTGAGGGGCTTGATTCTATACCTTTGACCTCTTTGTCTATTTTTGTATCAGTGCTGACAATGTTGAACTTTACCTGTGTTCTGTAGTCTTAGAAAACAGGAACAGTTAAAGAAAACCCCCACTGTTCTCATTCTGGGAAACTGCTCGCATAGAGAACCACCCTTCCTCATATGACTTAAAGAATATTCATAACCCTCACCTCCTACTCTGATTTGACAGAACCATTTGCCACGTTCTTCATCACAAATTCAACTGGTAATTGAAGTGTTTATCTGGGTTAGTTGTCTTTATCCAAAAATATAAAACTTCTTTTATTTTTTATATTTTTATTGATTTCAGAGAAGAAGGGACAGGGAGAGAGAGATAGAAACATCAAGGATGAGAGAGAATCATTGATTGGCTGCCTCCTGCATGCCCCATGCTGGGGATCGAGCCCACAAGCTGGGCATGTGCCCTGACCAGGAATCAAACCACAAGCTCCTGGTTCATAGGTTGATGCTCAACCACTGAGGCACGCCAAGTGGGCTCATTGTATTAGTTTTTGGTGTACTAGATTAACTTTAAATATCTGAAGTCCCACCGGATTTTTAAATTTTATATTTGGCTGGCTTTTTTCCTATTTGTCCTAAGTACAACCTATTTTAATTGAACTCACCCCTACTAAATACTCAATTTAAGAAACTGATATAAATAATAATGATGTAAATACAATCAGAAAGGCAGAAATTCTGAAAAGTTGCTGGAACACAAAAAGCAGGTAAGATTGAATTGACAGACATATAAGAGCAGAAGACACCGAAGTCTACAGTATATAGAGGAGAAAACTGATTAAAGATATGAGTGATTGCACAATAATTATAGAGAAAGGATAATCTGAGTTAATAAATTCAGATAACAGGGAAAATAGATCATCAGTGTAATTAAACGAAGAAGTATTTGAGACAGCTTGTCCAAATATTTCTACTCTATATTCCCCTAATTGAATTGGTGGTGGTGACATTAGACTCCAACTTGAAGCCCTAATTATGGCAGGAATTCTGGCACAATAGACTTCCAGAGGATTGTGGGAAATAAGAAGCAAAATAAGTTATGATTCACTCTCCACTCTCCCTAAGGCAGTGGTTCTCAACCTTCTGGCCCTTTAAATACAGTTCCTCAAGTTGTGACCCAACCATAAAATTATTTTCGTTGCTACTTCATAACTGTAATGTTGCTACTGTTATGAATCGTAATGTAAATATCTGATATGCAGGATGGTCTTAGGCAACCCCTGTGAAAGAGTCGTTTGACCGCCAAAAGAGTCGCGACCCATAGGTTGAGAACCGCTGCCTATAGGAATAGGAGGCTCTCATACCCAGGAGCTGAAATACCTGCAAACTCCACATAGTCCCACCCTCCACCTCTTCCCCCAAACAACAAAGGAAAGGTTCTTTCTGTAATCAGAGCCCCTATCTACATTCAGACAAAGTAGACATTTTTAAATTGTGCTTGACAAAAATGTGGAAAACATAGTTATGAAATGTGTGCCTCTTTATGCTTATCTTACAGGTTTATTATATTCTTACCCGATGTCCTTTTGGCATAGAAGATGGGAAGAAAAAGTTTGGGATTGAAAGACTGCTGAATTCTAACACTTATTCAGCTGCCTATCCACTCCATGATGTAAGTCTTAGTTTGGTTTTGAAATACTGAGCCCATTTTCCCTCTCACACATTCAGAGGTTGCCCTATTGGGAGAGAGAATCTTCCCTTTGCTTTCTCTTTTTTGACAGATTGCTTAATTCTCTCATGTGTTGGGAAAATCCCCCAAAGGTACCCTAGTTCCAAGCTGAGAGGAGGCAGAGAGAGAATGTATAATTATAAGTACTCTGAAATAGAGTTAACATTTCTTCACACTGAAGTTTTAATGGAAATAAATTCATTTGGGGAAAATTATTACATTTGCACATGACTTTTTTAGGACCCATATTGAAAATGCAGTTATAGTAAAACATTTTAGAGCATAACATTTAGAATTTCTATCTGAATTTATCAGATCTTTTATCATAAAGTTTTAAAGCTGTAAAGAAGTTAAATTACATGAATGCACTTAATGCATGCACATATTTAGTCATCAAAGGAATAATTTGTTTTAATTGTATATAAAGCATTCTGTTAGGTATCATTGGAAGACATCAATGAGTCACTCATAGACTAGGAATTTCTGGGAAATAAAGCATGTACACAACTTCAAAACAAGCTAAAGACATCTACACTAATAAAAGACAAACATGCAAATTGACTGTACCTTCGCTATGCCTTAAGCCATACCCACCAGCCAAACAGAGCGACTATATGCAAGGTAAATAAACCCCAGATACCTGTTTTCAGCCAGCCGTGGCCACGGAGCTGGAGCGAGCAGGAGGCATGGGTTGCCCCTGGTGATGGAGGAAGCCAAGCTTCCCTCCCGCCCACACTGGCCAACTCTGAGCTCCTCTCAAGGCTACAAAGTTTCAATTATAGAAGGTAAATAAATCCCAGAATAAAAAAAAGAAAAAAAGGAGAGGCTGGGAGCTTCTGTTGCTGGGGGGACTTGGCCAGCCTGAAAACAGCCCTCAGCCCCTCACCCAGACTGGCCAGGCACCCCAGTGGGGACTCCCAACCCTAAAGGGGGTGTGGCCAGCCTGAAAACAGCCATCAGCCTCTCACCCAGGCTGGCCAGGCACCCCAGTGGGGACCCCCACCCTGACGGGGCTGTGGGCATCCTGCAAACAGCCATCAGCCCCTCACTCAGGCTGGCCACTCACCCCAGCAGGATCCCCACCCTGATCTGGGACACCCTTCAGGGCAAACCAGCTGGCCCTAACCTGTGCACCAGGCCTCTATCCTATATAATCCTATATAATAAAAGGGTAATATGCAAATTGACCCTAACAGCAGAAAGACTGGGAATGACTGGTCACTATGACACACACTGACCACCAGGGGCAGACGCTCAATGCAGGAGCTGCCCTCTGGTGGTCAGGTTGGTCTCACATGGGGGAGCTCTGCTCAGCCACAAGCCAGGCTGACGGCTCCCAGTACAGTGGTTGTGGTGGGAGCCTCTTGCGCCTCCTCAGCAGCGCTAAGGATGTCCGACTGCAGCTAGGCCTGCTCCCCGCTGGCAAGTGGACATCCTCCGAGGGCTCCCAGGCTGCCAGATGGATGTCTGACTGCCAGCTTAGGCCCAATCCCCTGGGGAGCGGGCCTAAGCCAGCAGGTGTTCATCCCCTGAGGGGTCCCAGACTGTGAGAGGGCACAGGCCGGGCTGAGGGACCCCCCCAAGTGCACAAATTTTTGTGCACCAGACCTCTAGTCAGTCCATAAGAAAGATTCAGACAAATAACTGAAATTCACAAGAATGATTCTTTGGGGCCGTCAGATCATTGTACAAAATTATTGAGCTTTATAAGATCAATGAGGAAGTGACATTTTTTTATGATGCCCCATTCAACCAAACCTGAAATCTTGACAGCCTAGTTTCTGGGGGCTTCTGAGGGAAAACTTTCCTGTTAGATATTACATGTCTAAATATCACCACCCATTGGAAGTAGAAATCATATGGCTAAACATATATAAACTATTTTGACATCATCTTTTGGAACTTTCATTTATTTTATTCCTTTTTATTCTTCTATATTTATAGAAGACTTTTTAATGACATGTTCTCTGTTGGAGAAATACATTCCTTAGGAATATAGAAGAACCAAGTGTTTCCATTTAAACAGGTGGCATCTAAGTCATTGCTCATGTTTTTGAAGGCAGTGTTGTTGTTGTAGTTTTGAAAAACCCAAAGCCAAGCTCTCTCTGTTCTGGGACTTACACTGTTGTGCCAACTGTCCTCTGTCAGTATTCATTCAGCAACATGCTAATTGACTCTCATCAGTTCAATACTGGTTAGTTGATTATCTGTGGTATGGTTCCTATAAGGGTGCAGCAGAATTTTCCCTGAATGAATACTCTTTTCAACAGGAGTATCAATTCAGGCGAAACCATCCTCCCCACCCTTCCAAGCCTTGCCCCTTCCCTTCTCCCATATTTTTTCCCTGGGGCAAAATAAATTCTAGAAGATTATGAATTCTAAAAGATGCCATGGGCATAAATAGAGAGATCTATAGTAGGTTAGTGAACATTGGCAATGCATTTTTTTGTCAATTTTTTTCACATAAGGGCTCATTCAGTTCTTTGAAGATTTTGAGGATTGTTTGTTTTTAGAGCATTAATTCTCTTCCTAATCCAAGTTCATAAAGCCAAACTAAAAAGACCAAATATCCTCAATCACCAAAAATTTTAATCCATACATCTAGCCTTCCAGTATGCTTATTAGAAAACCAGTATTACTGCAGCATTGTTAGTGAGAGCTTTAATTTACTGTTAATCTATTTTTTTATATTTTATTGATTTTTTTTTTTTACACAGAGGAAGGGAGAGGGATAGAGAGTTAGAAACATCTATGAGAGAGAAACATCAATCAGCTGCCTCCTGCACACATCCCTCCGGGGGTTTGCCCACCACCCCCAGTACATACCCTTGATGGAATCGGACCTGGGACCCTTCAGTCCACAGGCTGACGCTCTATCCACTGAGCCAAACTGGTTAGGGCTAATTTTACTTTTTATTTCTTCCCTTCCCCCTGAATTCAAGTTTATATGCTGGATTTTCCTTTAGGTACTTTAGAGAATCATTTTTCCAGATACACAGATAGGCTGCTTCTTTTTCTATTTCAGTCCTCAAGATTCAGTAGGATTAACTACAGAAGAAGAAAACTGTTGGAATCTGGATAATATAAAATGTTACACATTATCACATAGAGATATTCACATGTGCTTAATTGGGTATTTATTTATTGCTGTCTTGAGCAGTTCACTTGTCTAGGCAAGCAGTTACAAAGAACGTATTGAATAGCTGGGTAGGCCGTGTTCTGCTGAGAGGTGTTAATAACCTTGCACAATACCTAATAGTGGAGAGAGAACTTAGGCATGAAGCAGTACTGAGGCTCTTAAGTTCTAAAGTTTGTTGTATAGATTTTAAGTTCTTTGGGAAATGGATATCAGTGCAGATAAGACAGGTTCCCTAGAGGGGATTCCTGTCATAGCAGTATGACTTTGGATCACCCATTTAACTGCTCTCTACAATGAAAGTATTAGCTTATTTCTAAAGTCCCAGCCAGGTATATAATTCATATGCATCCTGAGCTGTGCATATTATGTTGGATTTGAGTAGAGCAGAAAGGGTACTCCTGGTGAAAAGAATAGCTTGAGTAAAGCCAGAGCCTTTAAACTTGCACTTTTAAATAATTGGGTGTGAGAATTTAATAAATAAATCACTATTATTATAGTTTACTAGAGGCCTGGTGCATGACATTCATGCACTCGGGGGTGGGGGGTAGGGGTCTCTCAGCCTGACCTGCAACCTTTAGCAGTCTGGGAGCCCTTGGGGGATGTCCGAGGGGGCAGGGCTAAGCCACAGTTGGACATCCTTAGCATTGCCACAGAGGCATGAGAGACTCCCGCCACTGCCACTGCGCTCTCCAGCCGTCAGCCCAGCTTGTGGTTGAGCAGTGTTCCCCCTGTGGGAGCACACTGACCACCAGGGGGCAGTTCCTGCATTGAGCATCTGGCCCTGGTGGTCAGTGCACATCATAGCGACCAGTCATTCTGCTGTTTGGTCGATTTGCATATTACCCTTTTATTATATAGGATTATAGATTTTAGTAAATAATTTCACATTCATTCATTTTCACATGAAAATCCCAGTCTAAAAACAAGGTCAAAAATACTTTTATATTTCACTAACCTCATAAAAGCTGTGTTGGTTTACTTTTCACCCTCATTTTTTGCTTGGTCATTAATGTACTTTCTTCTTGAATATTTGTAGGGTCAATATTGGAAGCCATCAGAACCTCCTAATCCTACCAACCAAAGGTACCTACTTTTCCAGAATTGGGCTCGGTTTTCCTATTTTTACAAGGAGCAGCCTTTCGACTTGATTAGGTAAGTTTCTTACATAAGATCACACTGATGATTAAAACTTGATCATGTGATTTTATTTACAGTGGCATCATTTTCCATTCTTTTTACTACTATTATCCACTATATTTTACACCTTCCCAATTTTGTATCTACACTATCATTTAGTCATTCCTTTGTGAACACAGTGCTATTACCAGAATGCTATTAACCACCCTGCAGAGATAGCTCAGTGGCTCAGAGGTTGGGCCTTGGTATTTAGGTAGGCTGGGTTCAAGTCTAAGTTCTCCCTCCTAGAAGCTATCTAAACTTGTTCAAGTTCTTAACATCTATGACACTCATTTGTAAAATGGGAATGACTAGTACTTTCCTTTTGGGGTTATTTCATTCTTAAATGAGATATACGTTTTTAGCACAGGAGCTAGCACTTACTGCTTAATACATAATATTTTTGTTTCGTTTTCCTCTCATTCCTGGAATTTAGATGATAGCAGAAAGGTTGTGTATAGCTGTGTGTGTGTGTGTGTGTGTGTGTGTGTGTGTGTGTGTGTGTGAAGACAATTGCTCTATAACCTCTTTTTTTTTTGTTTTGTTTTTCTTCTTTCATTTTTGGGCTCAGGCAATTGACAAGCTTAGTGTCTGAGCCTGTCTGAGTTCCATGCTCTCAGACAATTTCTCAGGCAGTTTGATTAGTTAAGTAAGAAGACTATGGCTGCAGGCTGCTGCTTCAAACCATTACAATACCACATACATACAGGATATTAGGGGCCTCCTGCTATGATTTCAGTAAAGGAATAATCAGATTAGAACAATTCTTTTGGTGATTAATGTTTCCACTGCAATGCTTGTATGGCTTCCTTTTTAGGAGACTGATTTTGATGCAAACATCCAAATCAATTGAAATGTTATCACAACAGTTTTCTCTAAGCAAATAAGGGGAAACTTTTAAGGATAAAAGATAGCTGGAGCATATAAACTAATGTTTCTGTAAATCAGTATATGAACTTTATTTCTTGAGGACTTTTTTATTTTCAAGGAATAAGATTCTGCTATTTGAAAGGGAGGAAAATGTAATTCTTTAAAAATAAGGTTGTTTAAATACTCAGCTTTCTCTATGAGTTCTTGAAGAATTTTTACAGTAATAGTTATGTCTTCAAAAATGATTGATTCTGTGTTTTTTAAAACATCTAATGGAAATAGACATGATAAATAGGAAACACCACAAAATCAATTTTTTTCTCTTTTTAAAAATGTTTGATGGTATGCAGTATTACAATAATTGCTTTTTTTAGCAAAAAGAAAACAGGAGAAAAAAGCAAGTTTTTATTCATCCTAAGTGTGAGTGGAACCTCAGGAAATTAGGGTGGCAGATTAATAAGAGAATATGATATAATTACAATTTATTTTTAAGTCTATAGTCATTTGAAGAGCAGAAAAAGAAAAAAACAACATTGCAAAAATATCACTGAAAAGAATGAAAGATGGTGCAAGCAGTAAGATGCCTGTTTAATTTGAAATGATTAGACATTTTGAAAACTGAAGAATGGGAAGTTAAATAAAATTAATATGTGTGTGTGTGTGTGTGTGAAGACAATTGCTCTATAACCTCTTTTTTTTTTGTTTTGTTTTTCTTCTTTCATTTTTGGGCTCAGGCAATTGACAAGCTTAGTGTCTGAGCCTGTCTGAGTTCCATGCTCTCAGACAATTTCTCAGGCAGTTTGATTAGTTAAGTAAGAAGACTATGGCTGCAGGCTGCTTCTTCAAACCATTACAATACTACATACATACAGGATATTAGGGGCCTCCTGCTATGATTTCAGTAAAGGAATAATCAGATTAGAACAATTCTTTTGGTGATTAATGTTTCTACTGCAATGCTTGTATGGCTTCCTTTTTAGGAGACTGATTTTGATGCAAACATCCAAATCAATTGAAATGTTATCACAACAGTTTTCTCTAAGCAAATAAGGGGAAACTTTTAAGGATAAAAGATAGCTGGAGCATATAAACTAATGTTTCTGTAAATCAGTATATGAACTTTATTTCTTGAGGACTTTTTTATTTTCAAGGAATAAGATTCTGCTATTTGAAAGGGAGGAAAATGTAATTCTTTAAAAATAAGGTTGTTTAAATACTCAGCTTTCTCTATGAGTTCTTGAAGAATTTTTACAGTAATAGTTATGTCTTCAAAAATGATTGATTCTGTGTTTTTTAAAACATCAAATGGAAATAGACATGATAAATAGTAAACACCACAAAATCAATTTTTTTCTCTTTTTAAAAATGTTTGATGGTATGCAGTATTACAATAATTGCTTTTTTTAGCAAAAAGAAAACAGGAGAAAAAAGCAAGTTTTTATTCATCCTAAGTGTGAGTGGAACCTCAGGAAATTAGGGTGGCAGATTAATAAGAGAATATGATATAATTACAATTTATTTTTAAGTCTATAGTCATTTGAAGAGCAGAAAAAGAAAAAAACAACATTGCAAAAATATCACTGAAAAGAATGAAAGATGGTGCAAGCAGTAAGATGCCTGTTTAATTTGAAATGATTAGACATTTTGAAAACTGAAGAATGGGAAGTTAAATAAAATTAATATTGACTATGAGAAAATTTTTTTAATCTTCTCATTGGGAAATTAAGATTATGCCTTTATGTTCAGATCTGCCTTCTTTTTGAAATTACTACAATTTCATATTATGTGCTGTAATAGGTTTATAAATAGCATGTTATTAGGAAACTGGAAAGAATTTATGGATTTGGTGAGCTGATCTATGTTCTCAGGTTTCTTGAAGGATTCTTTAAGGGGTACTGGGTTTTAAAAAAACAACCACAACAAAAAGCTTGGTGTAAGACTTTAACATTTATGCCAAGTAATGCTGTCACTCTTCACCTCTTTGTAAGCAAGAGCTGAACTGTATATTTTATGGAACTTTTACTGAGCAGTCACTTTTAATCCTGAGGTGTGCTGCCTGCCTCACAATTCTATAGTACTGTATCCATCAGAGATCCAAACTTGGGGGAAATGGAGCTTTGTAAATACAACCACTCTTCCTTAATAGATGGTCAGAGTAACTTCCTCAATGTCAGAAAGAGAGATAAAGCACAAGTCTGTGCAGATTGTGCATGTCATTTTGAGTTGTTAAATTAAGTGCTAGAAATTACATTGCAGAATGTTCTCCATTGCATTTCAAACATGCAAAGTTCTTTAAATTTAAAAACTTTTCAAATTCCTGTATTATTTCAAAATTAAAACTTAACTTTCAGTTGGCTTCCTACTTAGATATGTTATCTCTTTTAATCCTTACACCAATTCTTCGAATAAACATCATCCTGCATTTTATGGTGTGGAAGCTAAAGTTCAGAGAGTTTAGTAACTTTACCAAAATTATACGTCCAGAAAATTGTGGAGCCAAAATTAGAATAAAGATTTGTCTGAATGCAAAACAAAGGCTGTCTGGTCTATGTAATTCTTTCAACCTCTGATTCTATTTTTATCCTCTTTTACAGGAATTATTTTGGAGAAAAAATTGGCATGTATTTTGTCTTTCTCGGATTTTACACAGAAATGCTGGTCCTTGCAGCTGTAGTTGGTTTAGCTTGTTTTATTTATGGCTTATTTTCCATTCATTCTAGCACAGCGAGGTAAGTGCAGCTGAGTTGCCAAAGTAGAGAGAATGTCTTGATCTTATGCTAATTGAAACATGTTATTATTTTTCCTGGCATTTGTTTTGAAATGTTTCTTTATGGCAGCAGATCAGGGATGTTTCTGAAAAAGACCCAAACAGCCCCCCTCACTAGATGTTTTATGAAAAATCTGTTTTTAAGCACTAGTTCTAAAGATTCTGCTCTTCAAAGCATAACTTGAAGAAATTGCTGCTTCACTCCCCCTTCTGCCATATGAGAAGCTGTATGAAAAGTTGTTCTGATCAGAATAGCTTTGGACTCTCACCCAAACACACATTACTTTTAAGATAACTTTGCTGTTCCCTCTGCAGCATTGAAGTCTGTGACCCTAAGATTGGAGGTCAGATTATCATGTGCCCACTCTGTGATCTATTGTGTGATTTTTGGAGACTAAATACTACATGTTTGTCTTCAAAGGTATGTATATATTTTGGTAAAATGTAATTTCCCTCCTTTTGCATTGGAAACTAAATTGTCTTTGTGATGTTATTTTGTTTTTACAGGTCTCTCATTTATTTGATAATGAGTCCACAGTGTTCTTTGCAATATTCATGGGAATTTGGGGTGAGTATACAGTCACATAAAAAATAGCTTTCTCCATGTTATGTGGTATATGGCCCATATGTATAACATACCAAAGGTGATTTTAGATGCAGGTATTTGTATCTAGCATCAATACACTGATGGCTTCCAAACAGTGGTCTTTAATCCTTGGTCCTTGGTCAAAAAAGAAGAAAAAAGCCTCTATAATCACCTGCTCCTTTCTCTGAGAGACATTATTTTTTTTAATATATTTTTGTTGATTTCAGAGAGGAAGGGAAAGTGAGAGAGAGATAGAAACATCAATAATGAGAGAGAATCATTGATCAGCTGCCTCCTGCCCGCTTCACAGTGGGGATTGAGCCTGCAACCCAGGGATGTGCACTGACAGGGAATCCAACCATAACCTCCTGGTCCATAGGTTGACGCTCAACCACTGAGTCACGCTGGTCAGGCAGAGACAACATAATTTTTTAAACTTCATATGTATTCAGCTCACAGTGTTTCCCAGAACTATGATAAAAATCAGGGTCAATAAGTAGTTAATTCAGGAGAGAATAAACAAATATTTGATAGCTAGAGGATATTGAATCATGGAAACAAACTAGAATAAGAATTTTTAAAATGTATACAGGGTTAATATGTTGGTGTTTGAATCTAAGTTCCCTGTGGCTAATTCTAGTGCCAGCTTTCAGATCTATTTGATAAAAACTTTCAAATAGATTTGGAAGTAGATCTAAAGTGGAATAGCCCTTAATTTTAGAAATATTCCAGGATATCACATGGGAAGTAGAAGTGTGAAGAAGTTGTTTCTACCATCAAATAGGAAATCCTGCAGACTTCTAAAACATGCCCCAAAATTCAGAGGACTTGGAAAAAATATACTTTTTTTCCTGAATAATAAAGAAAATATTTAGCAAACACAAATATGTGCACTTAAAAACTGGGCAAAGGACAAGGGTAGCTTGATCCAGGCAAAAAGACAACAAAATGTGTTGATGTGTATGAGAAGCAGAGGGATTGAAGGGTTTCTGTCACTTCCGCCTGGCTGCTGTGGTCTAGAGAGACCACCCAGGTTCAACGAGCAAAGAGGACAGAGAAATCTTATAATTCTCCAGAAACCCCAAGTTTGGTAAGTTGTGAGATGTACTCCATTATGTGGCTGCCAAATCCTGCCTCTGTTGTTAATTGGAATCAGAAGTGAAGGATAGGTGCACAAATTTAAACATATTTAGTAATTTTCAGTTGTTTCCATTAAGAGAGATTGTGTACCTCCACCAGCTCTATATTTCATCACAAATAGAAGAGAAACCATATGTGGAGCTCCCAGCAACACTGTATTTTGAGGAGGTGCTATCTTTAGTTAGTTCTTTCAGAAAAGTTTATTGTAGCAGTGAATTGATTTAGCTTTTGTTTTTGAGGATCTTGTCCAAATTTCATGAAAACAGAACTTTCAGGATGTTTGTTTTAGTACAAATACTAGTTAACAATTAAGCTGAATCAAAGGATGAGTTAGCAGAGTAGATGTGAGAAAACAACACTCGTTCTAGGGATTGAGACCTGAAAGTAATGCATACTAAGCTCTGTACTGAAGGATAGGAATGCTTTTTTTAAAAAAAAATGGCATGTTTATAATGAAAATAAATACCCATCTTAGGAAATTCAAGTAGTATATTGAAATAGAAAGACAATTATGTTAAAATCACCAGAAATAGAATTATTATTTTGGCCATGATTTTTCAGAATCTTTTATCCTATCTGTGTGGGTGTGTGTTCATATAACTTTACATAAATGGTATAATCCTATCTAATAATAGACAAACATGGTAATTGACCATACCTCCGCTATGCTTCCCATTGGCTAATCAGCAGGATATGCAAATTAACCCAACCAGGATGGCGGCCGGCAGCCATGCAGCTGAAGCGAGCAGGAGGCTTGCTTGCTCCAGTGATGGAGGAAGCCAAGGTTCCCCGCCTGCCG